TGTTGGAGACCTAATACCCATCCTCTTTAAATTTTTCCAAAAAGTAGAAGACTAGGGAATATTTCCAAACTCATTCTATGAGACCAGCATCATCCTATTACCAAAACCAGGCAAAGACACCACAAAGAAAGAAAATTACAGACAAACATCCCTGATGAACATAGATGCAAAAATACTCAACAAATTATTAGCAAACCGAATTCAAAAATACATCAAAAAGATCATCCATCATGATAAGTGGGATTCATCCCAGGGACACAAGGATGGTACAACATTCGAAAATCCATCACCATCATCCACTACATCAACAACAACGACGAAAAGGACAAAAACCACGTGATCATCTCCATAGATGCTGAAAAAGCATTTGACAAAATTCAACATCCATTCATGATAAAAACTCAACAAAATGGGTATAGAGGGCAAGTACCTCAACATAATAAAGGTGATATATGACAAACCCACAGCCAGCATTATGCTTAACAGCGTTATGACAAACCCACAGCCAACATTATGCTTAACAGCGAGATGCTGACAGCTTTTTCTTTAAGATCAGGAACAAGACAAGGATGCCCACTTTCCCCACTTCTATTCAACGTAGTACTGGAGGTCCTAGCCACAGCTATCAGACAACACAAAGAAATAAAAGGCATCCAGATTGGCAAGGAAGAAGTCAAACTGTCCTGTTTGCAGATGACATGATATTGTACATAAAAAACCCTAAAAAAATCCACTCCAAAACTGCTAGATCTAATATCTGAATTCAGCAAAGTTGTGGGATACAAAATTAATACTCAGAAATCTGTTGCATTCCTATACACTAACGATGAACTAGCAGAAAGAGAAATCAGGAAAACAATTCCATTCACAATTGCATCAAAAAGAATAAAATACCTAGGAATAAACCTAACCAAGGAAGTGAAAGACTTATACTCTGAAAACTACAAGACACTCGTGAGAGAAATTAAAGAAGATACCAATAAATGGAAACACATCTCGTGCTAATGGATAGGAAGAATTAATATTGTCAAAATGGCCATCCTGCCTAAAGCAATCTGCAGATTCAGTGCAATCCCTATCAAAATAACAACAGCTTTCTTCAATGAACAAGAGCAAATAGTTCTAAAATTCATATGGAACCACAGAAGATCCCAAATAGCCAAAGCAATCCTGAGAAGGAAGAATAAAGTGGCAGAGATTATACTCCCTGACTTCAAGCTCTACTGCAAAGCCACAGTAATCAAGACAATTTGGTACTGACACAAGAACAGACCCATAGACCAATGAAACAGACTAGAGAGCCGAGATATAAACCTAAGCCTATATGCTCAATTAATATATGATAAAGGAGCCATGGATATACAATGGGGAAATGACAGTGTCTTCAACAGCTGGTGTTGGCAAAACTGGACAGCTACATGAAAGAACATGAAACTGGATTACTGTCTAACCCCATATACAAGAGTAAACCCAAAATGGATCAAAGACATGATGTACCTCATGAAACCATAAAACTCTTAGAAGAAAAACATAGGCAAAAATCTTTTGAATATAAACACGAGCAACTTCTTCCTGAACGCATCTTCTCAGGCAAGGGAAACAAAAGCAAAAATGAATTAAATGGGATGACATCAAACTAAAAATCTTCTGTACAGCATAGGACACCAGCAGCAGAACAAAAATGCATCCTACAGTATGGGAGAATACATTTGTAAATGACATATCTGACAAGGGATTAACATCCAAAATACATAAAGAACTCACACACCTTAACACCCAAAAGGCAAATAACCCTACTAAAAAATAGGCAGAGGATGTGAACAGACACTTCTCCAAAGAAGAAATTCAGATGGCTAACAGGCACACGAAAAGATGCTCCACATCACTAGTCATCAGGGAAATGCAAATTAAAACCACAGTGACGTAGCATCTCACTCCAGTTAGGATGGCCAACATCGAAAAGACTAGAAACAACAAATGCTGGTGAAGATGTGGAGAAAGGGGAACCCTCCTACACTGCTGGTGGGAACATAAATTAGTTCAACCATTGTGGAAGGGAGTATGGAAGTTCCTCAGAAAACTAAAAATAGAAATACTATTTGATCTAGGAATTCTACCCCTAGCAATTTACCCTAAGAATGTAGCAACCGCGTTTGAAAAAGACATATGCACCCCTATGTTTATCGCAGCACTATTTACAATAGTCGAGAAATAGAAACAACCCAAGTGTCCATCAGTAGATGAATGGATGAAGAAGTGGTACATATATACAATGGAATACTACTCAGCCATAAGAAAAAGAAATCCTACCATTTGCTACAACATGGATGGAGCTAGAGGGTATTATGCTTAATGAAAAAAGTAAGGGAGAGAAAGATAAATACCAAATGATTTCCCTCATATGTGGAGTATAACAACAAAGCAAAACAAGGAACAAAACAGCAGACTCACAGACTCCATGAAGTAACTAGTGGTTACCAAAGGGGAAGAGTGCAAGCGGGCCAGTGAGGAGGGAGGGAGTAGGGAATTCTGGCTTATCATGATTAGTGCACATGGTGTGTGGGGTGTCACAGGGAAGACAGTGTATCACACAGAAGACAAGTAATGACTGGCATCTTACTACACTTTGGATAGTGACTTCATTGGCATATGGGGGGGATTTGGTAATACGTGTGAATGTAGTAACCACAGTATTTTTCATGTGGAACCTTCATAAGAGTGTATATCAATCATACCTTAATTAAAAAATTAGGTTAAATCAAAATTTTAATATTTGAGGAATAATATTGTGTACTAAACTCATAAATGAAACAAAGTAATTCTTTTTTTAAATAATTTTTCTTAAGGTATGATTGATAAACACTCTCATGAAGGTTTCACATGAAAAAACAATGTGGTTACTGCATTCACCCATATTATCAAGGCCCTACCCTAATGCAGTCACTGTCCATAAGTGCAGCAAGGTGCCACAAATTCACTATGTGCCTTCTCTGTGGTACAATGTTTTCCCTATGATCTCCCACACCATGTGTACTAAACATAATACCTCTCTATCCCCTTCTCCCTCCCTCCCAATCTGCCCTCGCACACCCCTCCCCTTTGGTAACCACTAGTTCATTCTTAGAGTCTGCGAGTCTGCTGTCATTTTGTTCCTTCAGTTTTGCTTCATTGTTGTACTCCACAAATGAGGGAAATCATTTGGCATTTGTCTTTCTCCACCTGGCTTACTGAGCATAATGTCCTCCAGCTCTGTCCATGTTGTTGCAAATGGTACAATTTGTTTCTTATGGCTGAACAGTATTTCATTGTGTATATGTACCACATCTTTATCCATTCATTTACTGATGGACACTTAGGTTGCTTCCATATCTTGGCTATTGTAAAAAGTGCTGCAATAAACATACAGGTGCATATGTCTTTTTGAATCTGAGAAGTTGTATTCTTTGGGTAAATTCCAAGTAGTGGGATTCCGGGGTCAAATGGTATTTCTATTTTTAGTTTTTTGAGGAATCTCCATATTGCTTTCCACAATGGTTAAACTAGCTTACATTCCCACCAGCAGTGTAGGAGGGTTCCCATTTCTCTGCATCCTTGCCAGCATTTGTTCTTAGTCTTTTCAATGTTGGCTATCCTTACTGGGTGAGGTGGTATCTCAGTGTGGTTTTAATTTGCATTTCCCTGATGACTAGTGATGTGGAGCATCTTTTCATGTGTCTGTTGGCCATTGGAATTTCTTCTTTAGAGAGCTGTCTCTTCATATCCTCTGCCCATTTGTTAATCGGGTTATTTGCTTTTTGGGTGTTCAGGTGTGTGAGTTCTTTATATATTTTGGATGTTAACCCCTTGTCAGATATGTCATTTACAAATATATTCTCCCATACTGTAGGATGCATTTTTGTTCTGTTGATGATGTCCTTTGCTGTGCAGAAACTTTTTAGTTTGATGTAGTCCCATGGGTTCATTTTTGCTTTTGTTCCCTTACTTGAGGAGATGTGTTCAGGAAGAAATTGCTCATGCTCATATTCAGGAGATGTTTGCCTATGTTGTCTTCTAAGACTTTTATGGTTTCATGAGTTACATTCAAGTCTTTAATCCATTTCGAGTTTTCTTTTGTATATAGGGTTAAATAATAATCCAGTTTCATTCTCTTGCATGTAGCTGTCCAGTTTTGCCAACACCAGCTTTTGAAGAGGCTGTCATTCCCCATTGTATGTCCATGGCCCCTTTATCATATATTAGTTGACCATATATGGTTGGGTTTTTATCAGGGCTCTCTTGTCTGTTTCATTGGTCTGTGGGTCTATTCTTGTGCCAGTACCAATTTGTCTTGATTACTGTGGCTTTGTAGTAGAGATTGAAGTTGGGGAGCATAATTCACCCTGCTTTATTCTTCCTTCTCAGGATTGCTTTGGCTATTTGAGGTCTTTTGTGGTTCCATATGAATTTTAGGATGATTTCCTCTAGTTCATTAAAGAATGCTGTTGGTATTTTGATAGCAATTGCATTGAATCTATAGATTGCGGGATGGCCATTTTGACAATATTAATTCTTCCTATTCATGAACATGGCATGTGTTTCCATTTTTTGCTATCTTCTTTAATTTCTCTCATGAGGGTCTTGTTTTCAGAGTATAGATCTTTCACTTCTTTGGTTAGGTTTATTCCTCAGTATTTTATTCTTTTTGATGCAATTGTCAATGGAATTGTTTTCCTTATTTCTCTCTCTGCTAGTTCATTGTTAGTGTATAGGAATGCCACAGATTTCTGTGTATTAATTTTGTATCCTGCAACTTTGCTGAATTCAGATATTAGATCTAGCAGTTTTGGAGTGGATTCTTTAGGGTTTTCTATGTACAATATCATGTCATCTGCAAACAGGGACAGCTCCATACCACTGAAAACTGCTCGTCAAGAAAAGGAACAAATTATTGATAACAACTTGGATGAATCTCCAGAGAATTCTCAGTAAAAAAAGTCAATCCCACAGAGACCTTGGAAACCATGGTTGATGATGACATTTGCAAAATGGATCCCATAGTCATCACTTGGAGGGGAAAGGCCAGGAATAGCCAGCCAGCCCACATCTGACTATGAAATAAACAAAAAATAAACATTTAATTTTTTTAAAGAAGTTAATCCCAAAAGGCTACATACAATACATAATGATTTTGAAATGACAAAATTGTATAAATGAAGAACAAATTAGCGAATCCCAGAAGTCAAGGACTCAGGTGGGGTAGTGAGGTAAAAGGGAGGTGAGTGTGGTTATAAATGAAAGAAACAAGAGTATCCTTGTGGTGAAGTGTTTGGTATATTTTGAGTGTGGTGGTGGATATGTAAACCTACACATGCGATAAAACTGAATAGAAAAAAATGAATACAAATGAAACTGGGGAAATCTGAGTAAGATAGGTGCATTGTATCAATATCAATATCCTGATTGTGACATTATAGTATAGTTCTGCAAAATGTGGTCTGGTTCCACATCTTCCTGTGTGCCTGGAGTGAGTGCCTCATGAGGAGGAAAAGAAAAGCAATTAGGAGATATTTGAGGATGTTCAAATTGTACAGACTGGAATAAGTATTTGGAAAGCTTTCTTGGATCTCCTGTTCTAGAAATTTGCCTCCTACCTTATTATAATAATGACTTAAATTGGTGTCTTTTAAAAAAAAATACAAGTGTTTTCTACTATGAAAACAAATCATATTCATTATTTTTTGTCCTCTAAAGTGCAAAACTAAAAACACCACTATAATTCCACCACCCAAATAAAACGTTTTAACATTTCTATCCCTCATAATCTTGTTTCTGTGCCTCTTTTTACAAAACATATCTTTATTTAGCAATTGCTGTTTTATGTCCTGCTTTTTTCACTCAGCGTCACCGCCTTTCTCCCCATATTTTTCAAAGACATTCTGAATGGCTACGTTAAACTTCATGGTGGAATTATTTACTTTCCAACTCCCCTGCATGACTGCAGAATGTGCATCTCTCTCTGTGCAGAATGTTTCGCCCACAAAACTTTCAAACATCTTCCAGAGAACTACTGGGCCACCTTTCAAGTCTCAGGTACTCGATACCCTCTCTCATCCAACCCACTGCGCCTATTTCCATAGGGTCTATTTTCCAGAGTCCGCGCGTCGGTCACTTTCCAAACTCCCGGCGCCCTCCGTTTCCCGTAGGCACGTGACGATGTCACGCAACAGCATTGCTTGTTTCCCTGGTGACGGTTGCTGGAGTAGCGTGGGCAGGCGTCCGGAAGAAGTGACCGAGCTGCGGCGACCCTTGAAGGGAGGAGCGGAGTGACTGCTGTAAGTGCCGGGAAGGGCGGAAGGTCCCGGGCCGGAGCCCGGGGAGTCCGCAGCTCCTGGGGCGCCAGCGCCGGCGCCGGAGCGCACACGTTCGCCCGAGCTCGCCGCTACCAGCCAGAAGCTCCCCGCAGGCCGGGAGCCTAGCTAGGATACGCCCTTCGCGCAGAGCGCCTCCCCTCTCCCTGCAGACACATTTTCCGCGCCGTACCGGGATTAGTGAGACGCAGAGGGTGGGCCACCTGCCCAAAGTCACAGAGGTGATGGCATAGTAAAAAACCCGACTCGTTACCGCCTGACCAGTGCCCTCCTCTGGTCTCTGCTACGGAGCCGGCCGGCGTCACGCGGAAAGGCGGAGCGGTAGCTCTCCGTGCTGGCGGTGTCCCATGTCCTGCGCGCTCCCTGGGCCAGCCCCCACAGGACGGGGGCTCCGAGGAGTGAGTCCCCTCACAGCTGGAGCGAGTCCAAAAGCTTTTAATTTGAATGAAGTAAAGGATGTCCATTCCCGCCCGGCAAACCAGGCATTTGTACCCCAACCCCAACCCCATCCGTGCGTTTGTGCTGGCCTGGCAGGCAGGCAGTGAGGTTTGTCCCGCAGTTCAGGGCGCCCTACCAGTGTTTCCGGGGCGTCTCCTCTCCATCCCCAGGACTCCAACTGCTGCTGGGAAATCTCTCCGAGAACTTAATAAAAAAAAGGGAGGCAAGCTTGCGGGGGCAGGGAGGCTCACGCCTGGAAAGGGCCCCAGTCCTTCCTCCTCACCGGTCCCTGTCCCCGAGGCACTCAGCTGCCTCTGGGACTTTGAGTTCACCATAGAGAGCAGTGTGGTGGGTGGGTGCCGTTCCCCCCACTCCATGGCTCTTAAGTCCTTCCTGAGCAGAGTTCCTTACATGCAGCTTTAGCCACAACTTTTGTTAAAGGAATTATTAGTAGGCCTTATTTCTTAAGGCATTTTAGATTTACAGAAACATTGAACAGAAAATACAAAGTTCCTGTATATTCTTCCCCTTTTCCCCCATTATGAACATTTTGCATTGGTATGACATGTTATCTTTGATAAACCTATATGTTGTTAACCTAAAAAGTACATTAGGGTTCACTTTTTGTGTTGTACAGTTGTATGAGTTTCACCAAATGCATAATGTCGTGTAGCCACCAGTAAAGACCAAAAAGAATAGTTTCACTGCCCTCAAAACCCCCAGTGCTCCACTCATCACTCCTCCCCTCGACCCAACCCCCAGCAACCACTTGTCCGGGGTCAGGGAAGTTGCCACATAAATACTTTGGGTAGAACATTTCAGCAGACGGAATAGCTTGTATTAAAGAATGCAAGTTTGATGTGTTCTTGAAAATGAAAGATGAGTTAGGAGGAGATGCAGATCACACTGGGCCCTGTTTTTATGCTGAGGTGGGCATGGTCTGGCTGCTGTGTTGAGACTAAACTGTGGGGTTAGTGGCAAGGGCAGATGCAGGGACCTGAGTTGGGAGGCCATAGTAATGATCCAAACAGGAGATGATGGTTCTTGGCCTAGGATAATTGAAGTGGAAGAGTTGGGAAATATTCAGGTTCTGGATATATTCTGAAGGTAGACCAAGAAGAGAGTTTGCTGATGGATTGGATTTGCAGGAGGGATGGAGCACACCGATCATTAGGGTCACTGCCATTCTTCATTTTGCCACAGAGCCTTTGCACAGGCTGCCCCTCTGACCAAAGTGCTCTTCCTACTTGTGCTTTAGGTCTCAGCTCACTTCCTTGGGAATACTCTCCCGCAGACTATGTCAGACTTCCTGATAAAGGCTCTCAGCACCATGTATCTTTCCTTCACAGCATCACAGTTATCATTTTATCCTTATTCTTCTGATCATTTGATCAGTGTCTGTCTCCCCCACCAGACTATAAGCTCCATAAGGTCAGAGCTCTTTCATAGCTCTTAATGCAAGGCCAATAAATATTTGCTAAGTGAGTCTTTAACCCACATCCTGCATGAGCAAATGATACCAAGTTGAGTATTTTTAATGCTGTTTGCTTTAGGGACAAAATTGCTGCTGTGATTCCTTTATTCATTCATGGCACGAATGTTAACTTAGCACCCACTGCTCACAGTGCTGTCCTGTCCTGCAGAGATGAGATTCAGAGATGAACATGACAATTTCTATCTTCAGGGTGGGTGGAAGGTGACAGAAACTCTTCCAATCACCAATCTGAACTCCCCAAAATATAAATGACAACCACATAATTGCTCCTAATTTTAATGTATACCAACCACATTGTCATGGAAGTAATCAGGAATCAGATAGGCCAAGTGGTGTTCTGAAAAATTTAGTTTTAGCTTTATTGTTATGTGCTTTTAAAAAGAAAAGTTTTCCTTTCTGGTTCCTGGGAAAAAGCATCTCCAACTGAGATTCACATTGTTCTTGGTCAGGGGTCTAAAACAGACTTGCAGTTAAGGTGTTAAGAAGATTAGGAAGAATGAAATGGGTCTGGGTCCCATTTCAGAAGGTCCCTGGCATTTTCTCTCTTCCTGCCCCTGTGGCCTCTATCCTGATCCACTCCACCCTGCCTCTCCTTTGCTCAGAATCACACTTCTGTCCCCATCTCTACCTGGTGACATCTACTCATCTCTATCTGCTGCTGCCCATCTCATCTTCTTCCATTTTCCTTTTCCCTCTCTCCTACCTCCTTGCCAACCTCCTCACTACTTTTGTCAACACCTCAGGTCTCAGCCATCTGAGACTCCAGTCCAACTCACGCTCATTAGCCCCAGACCCACCCAGCCAGCTTCCCACCGAGCATCTCCATGTGAGAAGTGCAGTGAGTCTTAAATCCAACAGTGCCTGGCACCAGGCTTGCCTGCAGCCTGGAAAACTGCTCCTCTGCCTGGATCCACCATCTCCCCCACCACTCAAACCCAATCCCCCTAGATACCTCCCTCCTCCTTTTCGGCATCCCATCTCTTCCATTTGGCAGAGATTCCTGTTCCCATTCTCCATACCCACTGCCACAGCCTTAATTTGGGACCACATCCCTTCCCAGAAATATGCTACCAGCATACCCCTTGCCTCCAGGTTCACAAAATGCAAATGTGATCCTTGATCCTGTCTGCATCCTCTGAACATCCCCAGCACCTTCAGGATGAAGTCCAGGTTCCTTAGATAGACTAGATAAGACCATCTTTCCAGATCCTCCCCAAACCTCTGGCCATCCTCCATCTTTCTCAGTTCCCCACAGTCCTCATATTCTCTCTGCAAACGATCTTCTGACAGGACAGCACTTTACCCCCCATTCAGAAACCCTTCCTCCCCGACCTTAGGCCAATTCTTCAGCACTCCACTACAGGCTGACTGGGGTGCCTGCTTCTCCTGCACTTATCACCCCTCATTCTCAGCCCCAGCTCATCATTATACTCACCTGGGAAACTAACACTGGACAGATGCCGAGGCCACAGCCCACACCAATTAAATCCAAACCTGTGCTGGCCACATTCATAGCACAGAGCATGTGCTAATGCCCTGGAGGCTGAGCTGGACCAAAGGTGTCCTGTCACTGCAGGTTTGCTGTCCATCTCCTGCAGGCTTGGTTAGGCCAAGGACGCCATTTCATGAGATGAGAAAGATAATAGCCAAACTGTCAGGAGTGCTTCTGTGCCAGGCACCATACTACATACTTCCCATGCATTCTCTGATTTAATCCTTGTAGTCACCCTATGAAGTACAGAACAATTTCATACTGAAGCACAGAGAGATAAGCAGTTTGCCCAGAATGCAGTGTACATCCAAGAAGTACCTGTTCCCCAGTGACTTCAAGTGCACATTGGGAATAGAAAAGGAAACAGGTCTTACAAGTTACTGTGTTCATTTATTTACTCATTCATTCTTTCTATTATCCTTGAGTACATATGACATTCATTTAGTGACACTTATACAAATATTAATTGAAGGCCTATTCTGGGCAAGATGCTCAGAATTAAAAAATAAGTAAGACTTAAGACCCTGGCTCTGAGGAGCCCTTTTAGTAAATGGAAGGAATAGAAATAAAGTCATAGACATAATATATTAAAGTAAGTTGAGTGATCAAGAGATGTCCCATTGGGCATTCTAGAAGGCCACAGAGCCTCCAGGGGGATTCTAAAGGCTAAATGGGGGTTTGTGGGAAGGAGAAAGTAGGCAGTGGATTGCCAGGGAGGAAGGCATTCCAGGTAGGTAGAGTGGCTAAAGCAAGCCTTTGAGATGCCTCCAGGCTTGAGACTTAGCAGGGGTCACAAACCCAGAGATTTTCAGGGGCTGATATGAAATAAAATGGGTGAATCCATCAGGTGTAAGAAAAGAACAGCATTTACAAACAATGATAACAGGAGGATGGGCGAGCTCCAGCATTCGGGAGTGGTAGGGATGCTGGTTGAGTGGAGAGAACATACCCTGCCCAGCAGCACGGAGCCTCTTAGGATCTGGTTTTAGAAAGGTCCCAGATGGTTATGGGCCGTATGGATCCAGGAAGCTAAGGTGTGAAGCAAGTAGCTAGAGAAATGGGGGGCACTGAGGGATACTGGGGTGAGCAGGCAAGAGGTAAAGTACAGAGGAGGTGACCTTGAGATGTGAGGCAGTGGCTGCAGAGGCTGGAAGCAATATGTCATTGGGCTTGGCCAGTGTGTAGGCCCCACGGCTGGGGAAGGCTTTCTGAGGACATGTCACAAGAATCACTGTGAGGGACAGCACGCATCTGGATGTGGGGAGGGAGTGGATAGGAGTCCACAAGGCAGATCACCAGGAAGGGAGAAAATACCATATTTTGTTCCTATTAATGTATAGCTGTCAAATTGTTTCACACCCTGCTTTGAGTAGCATTTGCCCCTCACAGCACACCTGTGGCCTCCATGTCATCATCTCCTCCTTACTGAAGAAGAAACCGAGGCTCAGAGAGATCTCGAAAGTATTTAGACTCACACCACTGGTACAAAGCCAAATTCACCCTGAATCCCAGGTGCTATCTCAGCTTGGGCCAGGCTGCTTGTACAGTAGCCCAGACCAGCAGAACCCATCACCCAGGCTGCACCCTGACCAAGGGCTCCGAATCCCTGGTTGTGCGACCCAGGCATCAGTGTCTTTAAAGCTCTCCACTGGTGGTTCCAGTGTGTAGGACAGGTAGGAACCACTGCCTCACATGCTGGTCATGGCCTCCAAGCTGCTTTCCCAACTTGCTGTTGACCCAGAGTGATTATTAATAGCTTTTCCTTTCATTCTCCAAAGTGACCCAATTTGGAAAAGGAAATGTATGGATGTCCTTTCTTATAATGTACAAAAATAGGAAGTCATGGGATAAATTTATTTTTAAACTCAATTAGTTATATCTTCAAATTAATAGGCTCAGTAAGGTTTTCTTCAATAGCTAAACACCTTTGCAAGTGAAATTCTTCTAAATCAGGTTGGTGAACTAAGGCCCACAGTCTAAATCCAGCTTACTGCCTGTTTTTGTAATAAACTTTTATTGGAACACAGCTACGCCCACTCACTTACATCTTATCAATGGCTACTTTCTACTGCAATGGTAGAATACAGTAATTGCAACAGAAACCATATGACCCACAAAGTCTAAAATATTTGCTCTCTGGTCCTTCACAGAAAAAGTCAGATTTGCCTAAATTTACAATGTTGAGCCCCATTGTAAGACATCTGTGGTGGAGACTTAGCTATGGCCGTCACACATTCAGCAGTGTTATCCAGGAGTTCCTGCAGTTTGAGGGTCCCCAAGACCACCCTTACTTTCCATGATTTGATTGAAGCATCCACAGAACTCAGAAAAGCCATTATATAGTTACAGTTTATTATGATAAAAAGGTACAAACTAAAATCAGCAAAGGGAAAATGCACACAGAGCAGAATCCAGGAGACACCAGGCACAAGCTTCCTATTGTCCTCTTCCAGGGGAGTCACGGGAACAGTGCTTACCTTCTCCCGGCAACAATGCATGGCAACATGTTCAGAGTATTGCAAGCCAGGGAAGCTCACCCAAACCTTGGTGTCCAGGGTTTTTACTGGGGGTCAGTCATATAGGCATGGCTGACCTCTGTCATTCAATTTCCCAACTCTTCAGAGGTCAAGCTTATGCTATGTGGCCCAAGCCCTCATCATCAAATCACATTTAAGCACAGACTACCTGGAGTGTCTGTGAATAAAGCGTCTTTGAATGAAATGTCTAAGAATAATGGGAGGATATTCCAAAGGCTTAGAGGCTACCTCCTAGGAGCAGGTCAGGGACCAAATCTTTCCTTGGAATGTGCGGAATGTGGACAACCCAGACTTACTGTGTTAATTCTTTACTTTTACTGGGCAGAGCTATCCTATGAGGAATTCCAAGGTAATGCTGTCTCCTCCTTTGCTACAACAGGCTCCAGGGCCAGGCTGTGGGCTCAAGCCTTAGCATGGAACCACCTGGGCAGTGTTAAAACAGACCCATGCCTGGCCACTACTCCAGACTAATTAAATTGAATTCTCCAGGGCTGGGGCCTGACATCAGTATTTTTAGACTGCATCCCTGGGATTCAATATTAAGGCAGGTTTATCAGCTTAGAGTATAGGCTCTGGGAACATCCCTGTGGACAGGGTGGAGATAAGTACAATGGAAAGGTGTAGATGGGGCAGTTGGGGGTGTTCAGGCAGGGAGTGTGTTTTTCCTGGAGGGTCGGAAAGGACATGGGGTTCATGCAGGGGTCTGGAGGGGTTTGTAAGATTTAAGTCTTGGGGAAGGGTAGGAGAGGTGTAGTGGGAGAAGACCAAGGTGACACTAGAACCCAGTACTATAAAGGGGAAAACAGGCTGGAAGAAGAAACTGAGGATAAACCTCCCAAAGCCTTTATTGCCTTTGGACTTGGCTTTTTGGCTAATGGGAATCTACTAAGCTGTTTTGCACAGAGGTCTCTCAGGCTCAGAGCTGTGCTTTAGAGAAAGTAGTCCTTCAGCCAGTGCAGGCTAGACTGCAAGTGAGGTGGGAAGAGAGAGGGGCAGCAAGGACAGCAGGGACCTGTTTAAGTAGTTCTGGGGACAGAACCATCATCATATACTCCTTTCATGCCTGCTAGATAGGAAGCCTGTTATAAGTCCTGAGGATCCAGCAGTGAGTATCACACAGTGCCTGCCATTGTGGGGCTGGCAGGAAAGAGGGAAGGAATCAACAAACAAACAAATACAATGCATCAGGTGAAGCTGAGTGCTATGGAGAAAGATAAAACAGGGTAAGGGGCAGGGGGCATGAAGGGAGGAATGCCTTCCACAATAGAATGGTGAGGAGAGTGTCTCTGGTTAGGTAAAATTTGAGAGAAGTGAACGTGCTGGATGTCTGAGTAAAGAGCATTTCATGGAGAGGGAACAGCAAGTGCAAATGCCCTGAGGTGGCCTGAGCCTGATAATGAGAGTAATTTCCATGGGCTTGGAAATATGGGGACAGATTTAAAGACATTTATAGAGAATCAACAAGATTTATGAATAATTGGATGGTGAGTGGATGATGTGATTTTTTTTTTTTTTTTTTTTTTT